GATTAAAGCTCGTTTGTGATCATTTAATTAACTAAACAAACAAACTTGAACAATATTTTAAATACTAGATTCTTAAATAAACAAACTTGAACATTAATGCGTTCAGCTCATTTATGTTCGTGAACAACATTATTTGAAGTTCGTGAACAAGCTCGACATTAAGCTCGATAAAAGCTCAATTCGTGTTCGATTTTGAACTCGTGAATAAGCTCGATAAAATAATTAATATTTGACTATAAAATTAATAAATATAAATAATCATTGCATTTTTTACATAGACAATTGCTTTTATTATAAATATGTTTATTCATATATATGTTCATGAACGTGTTTGTTTGATAGTAAAAAAAATTCATTAAACATGTTCGCGAACAAGCTCGATAAGCACTAAACGAACGAACATGAACCGAACATGAACACTCATAAATTTAAATGAACCAAACATGAACACAAACAATAAAGCTCGAACAAACATGAACCAAACTTGAACAAGCTGATATTAAATGAACACAAACATGAACACTCACATACTCGGCTCGGCTCGGTTCGTTTGCAGCCCTAGGGACAACAGAACTATGGGATCTTGATCGGATCTATCATCCATTCCCTCACCATCTGCTTTAAGTGCAAGATGGTGAAATTTTTGTTCTAAATATCAACATTCAAATTCCAAATTTCCAAACCCATTGCTGCTACTATATGTTGGATAACACGTATATTCTACGTATCTGATCGACGACTAGCCTTAATCGAAAGTTCTCTCTCGTGATCGGGAGAGGTAATTAACTATAGGGGCTTGCGCCTATAGGAAACCAGAACTCAGATCATAAAGTCCTCACAAAATGAGGGCGAAATCTCTGGGTGGTGTCTTATCTACAAACTCATATGCCTTCCAAAATTTATCCCGGAACTTATTTTGTTAAAACTCCCTCGCCAAATAAGAAAAAACACAACATGCGTGGCGGGGAGGCCGGGGCCGAATTTTTGGAACCCACATGCGTGTTGGATAATATGCTTGAATAACGCATTTGTGTGTTGCAGCGTGTATACGTATAATTCATTTTATATGCTGAAATATATAAATACACAATAAGACTGTATATTAACATAACGCACTGTCACGTTACTACATATTTTGCATGCTTGAATTATATGCTTGCATAATACGCTTTGCACGTTGTAATGTATATGTACGCAACACATTTGCATGTTAGTATAACACGTTACTGCGACATAATGCATCCCGCAGTATTAAATGACGTGTTTGAATGATACGTCCTGCCAATTTTAATGCATGTGGTAGGCATTTTTTTGCAATTATTAGCTGTGTAAATGGCAACCGTTGGTAAGCATGTGAAGTCAAATTTCGGAATCTAAAAATGATTTTTACCTGCTTGCACGAATGTTGCGGATCCGATGGCGTGATGCTACGTTGTGGGTTGCTCGTTTCTTTATACAGGTAGATTGTCGTGCACTAACAAGTCTCCTGCAATTGCTTGCAAATAACATGTTGTGTGTACGACGGGTCTCCTGTAATAACCCGTAGGCACTTGCATTTGTTATAACCCTGCATTCGCCGTGGCCCTTTGGCATGTATTTCGAATATGACATGTAGTGTGTACAGTAGATCTCCTACAATGGTCCGTAGGAGTTTACATTCATTAGCAATCTCTCCTTGTATGTTGATTATTGTTGTTCGCAGGGAACTATTGTATTCATTGTATATCAAATTCCTCTTCTGACAGGGGATGAGTATATTTGCTTGGCACTAAATTATTGTAGACTATATGAATGCTCCATTACTTGTTGCGTGCTTCTGCATATGCCTACAGGGAACATGATCAATCGTAGGCAAGCTTGCTGTGTCCATATGCAAGTCAACTTCCTTAATATGCAGGGAACTCGTGCATTTGATAAATATTTGATTGGAGAAGTTGCCTTTGCGATCATTGCATGCCCACTATCATCATTTGCAGGAGTTGGGTGTGTTTATTTAAAATGACATTGTCAGCAAGAAGGTTATTTCCATTACAGTTTTCTCGATCTGCTTGTAGACATGCTACATTTCTTGCATATCACTAGTCATCGCTTGCAGTCAGGCTGAAACATTTATCATGACTTTATTTTTATTGAATTCATAAATTCATTGTGTTGTCTATGGTCGCTAACATGCAATGCATTACATTCATTATTAACTCCCTTGCCTTATGAACATATCACTACTTTGCAAATTCCTTGATTCATATTGGTCGATAAGTCACATTCATTAGGTGCTCCGCTTCGTATGTATAGGCAACATAGACATCTTTCACAAGTTAACCGGTATTGGTGATATGCATGATATCTTCCTTACAACTTTCTTGCATATGTTTGTAGGTTTGCTGCATTTATTACAAGCTCCATTTAGATGATTAGGGCTATTAGTCAACATTTGCATCTTAGTGTGATTATGTATTTGTAAATTTAATATCCACTTCCCTATTATTTTGCTCAAGTTCAGTGTCGGGTGACATCGTGGTTGTGGTCTTCAATCCCATCACGACATAGAAAGACGTGTATTGGTCTTCAGGGGTACATGCTTGAAAACACAGTTCTTTCCCCGGCTGGCACTGAGGCACGCACACAGGTACTTAGGGTTATCCCCGCCACGTAGAGAAAAGCGTGTACGGGACCTAACCCCCTCGCTGCAAGCACCGCATCGGATTCTCTCCCACCACGTTAGAGAAATGTGTGTATGTTTGATTTTTCGATGCATCACGAGTGTTGAGGATGGATTTTTTGAGTTTAAGTATTATACCTTGTGCGACGAGCGAGGCAACGACATCAGTGATGTTAGAAATGTGCAAAATATGTCTCTTTCCTTTTTTGCATTTTTCTCATTTTGTTTCTTTTTCTCTTTTTTATTTAGTAAATATTATTAATGTTAATCAAAATTAAGAGAGAGAGAGAGAGAGAGAGAGAGAGAGAGAGAGAGAGATTACCTTAATGTGAGGTCAACTTGGGGTTGGGGTTGAGGGATTAGAATAGGTCTAGGAGGATCTGGTCGATTGAGGTGGCCTGGACGTCGGGTGAGGGGCAGTAGTTTAATCGGCCGTTGTGTTGGGCTAGCAGGCTGTTGGATCGAATGGGTGAAGGATCGACAATGGGTGTCGAAGCAGGCGGCTGTAGCAAGGTCAGGTGTGGGTTTGATTGTGAGGGAGGAGTCGGGCAGGTGAAGAGGCCGCGTTGAAGATTGGAGGGACGGCGTTGGTTGAGGTCGATCAAATATAATCGATAGTGGCGGTAGGGAAGGCTAGAGCTTCGATGAATCCAGTCGCAGCTAGCGTCGGGTTCACTGATGGATGAAGTCCTGTGAATTGAGAGAGAAGGTGGTGGTTGAAGCGTAGATAGTTTTTTGCGGCTGGGTGGAGGTTATTATCATGAGAAAGATGAAGAGGGAGGTGTCGAGTGAAGTTTGAACAAGGAAGCAGGTCGTGAGTGGGAAGAAGGAAAATGAAGCGAAGATTTCGTTCGCTTTGTTTTAACAATGAGGCATCATATTCAAATAAGGCCACTTGCGGGATTTATGGGAAATGACGCAAGCGATGCTGAATAGTATGAGATATGTGAGATTTTGGGGATTTCTTGATTTTTATGGGATTTTCTGTCGAGGTCATGCAACAAATTTAGAAGAATTTTTTTATCAAAATAATTATTCAACAGAATATCTAAGCTAATATATGAGAAAATAATTTTAGTTTGGAAATGACATGTTGGCTTTAAATAAATAAAAAAAATAACTAAAAATTATAATGATCAAGATCACCATCTTTATTATTAGCTTTATCCTAACCATTTAGGGTCGGCTAAATAAATAAAAAATGCAACCTTTTATTTGGCATATCTCTTGGCATTTGAAAGACAAATAATGGTTATCCATAAATAATTGCGCAGTGTATGAAAAGAGTTATACATGAAGGAGGTAATGAATTACCACATTCAGGGCTATTTGATTGAAAGTAAAATTAGTGTAAAGTATTCAAAATACAAAGGTTTTGAAAATATTGGTGTTTTGTTGGATGAATAAGGAATGCAAAGTAAAGTAAATATAGTGTAAATCATTTTATTCATTTTTGAGGTATACTAGACTAGCCCAATTTTGAGTAAGAATCGTTTACACTGCAAGCAAGCTCGCTTGACCACCGCCCCCACCATCTTTGGTCGCCGCTACAAGCCGGCCATCACCAGTTGCCAGCCGCTTCCTGCCGTCGGCTGACGCCTGCCACCGCTATCCATCATCAACAACCACCACCACCACCCTCCACCCTCCGCCCACCACCAACCACTGTTGTCTGCCCGCCGCCACTAGCCTCTAGCCATCCTCGCCGCTGCCACCCGCATGTTGCTATCATTTTTTAACTTTACACTATATTCATTTTACTTAAAAAAAAAACATTCACTTGCATTTTCTTTATACTCATCTAAATAACTTCAAAAGCATCTCCTTTACACTGTATTCCTTTTACACTACATTCATTTTTTAGCCAACCAAATAACCCATGAATTCCCTTCTTCCCAAGAGACTAAAAGAGTTCGAACCACTAAAAAAATGATATGCATTTAAGAGAGATCAAACTACTTGCCTCTCCTTTTTTGCTTTCTCAATCACTCATTTTCACCTTTTCTGTCATCTTTATTGGCACCCTTTTAGAAAGCAAGGTCATAATTTTCTTCTCATAATCATAATTCAAAAGAGTATCGCCGTGATTTGATTTAAAGAGATGCGAGCGAATCCACAAAAACACCCGTGCCCCTATAAATTGTTCTAATTTGCCATCCAGCAAAAATAAAGAATTTATCATTGAAAAACTGCAGGCACCCAAATCGCCATTCCCTAAAAGCAATGGGATTATTTCTATAGAATCATGCTCAGGAACAGAAAAAGAATGCTTAAAAGCGTGTAGAAATCAAAATATATAATTGGGATTAGGCATAAATTCGTGAAAGTAGCATTTCTTCACCTTTCAAATTCAACCCTAACTCCTGCTTTTTATTCTTCATTCCGAGCTTTCATCCCCCTTTCCTCCTTTTGTGTCCTAGAGTTCAGGAGGAAGAAGCAGCTTTCATAGCTCCAAATCTTCGCCGCCCTAGCCTCCAAATCTAGGGCACAAATATGCTCAGCCTGTGAATTTGAATAGCAGGCAAATCGATCGAAATTGGCAAACCTACCATTGACAACTTTGAATTAGATATAGAGAAAAGGAGAAGAAAATTTTTATAAAATTTATGAATTGATTAATATTCTCGACCAACGCCGCCCGAACATCGTTCCCCTGGCACGATCACTGACGACATTGACATCTACCGACCAACGCGGTTGTTTGGGGGAAACTTTTTTTTTTTTGGGTAAACCGGGGCTAAAAAAGCCCATCTATTAAAAGGCAAAAACAATTACATGTAAAACCTGTAAAGATAAAAATGTAAAAGAAAAACAGCTAACACAGAAAACCTTCCAAAAAGCCAAAACAGAGAGGCAATTGGAGGAAAATACAATCATAAGGACTCAGAAAAAATAAGACCAAGACCCCAATCATCAAAATTATCAGCGATAAACCCACGTTGCCACGGCGGTGGCTCCGGTTGCCATTAAGAACCTTGCAAAGATGTGCCGCTGAAAAATAGAAAGGCCGTCGCAGAACCTCCAGCCGGCGACAAGAAATATATAATTCGAGCCAGGTTGCCAAGGAGGCCATCCATGGCAAGAATGGAAGGGGATGGCCTTGCTCATCATTGTCCGATTGTTCAAATCCTCCACGAATACCAGCCAACAAGACAGAACCTGTGCAGAATCCTGTCCATGTCCGATAATCCAGGTATCTCCAAAAATGCATTGAAAGGAACAGTTATAACAGGACAGCATGAACCCCCAAAAAGTAATTCCTAGAAAAATTGGGGAATCAAAATATCCAAAAACTAGGACATAAAAATACAGTCCCCCGAAAAGAAGTTTAAACCCAGTAAACTCATGCCAGAATAAAAGCAAGAAGAAAGTTCCAGGACAGCTCTTATAACCAGCAAAAGCACATAGACCCAACAAGAAGAAAATAATTAAATACCAGCAAACCTCAGCAACATATCTTTGTTTTGCCATTTTGATATCTTAAGGCGAATAGCAGACGAAATTGTGCATATGATTTTGACAGAATTTGTGTTTAAGCTAGAGAAACGCTGGTTGTTTCTCTCTCTCCAAATATGATATATAATACAGTTAACAATTAGGCAGCAAAAATCTTTCTCCGGCCTATTATAAATCATCGAGTGCTCAAGCAATTCAAAAATTTGCGGAATAGTAGGTCTCAAAAAGAAACAATTTAAATCTGGCAGTAACCTGGTAAGAATATTGAATGAGAAATTACAGCCAAAAAATAAATAACTGTGGTTTTCCAGAAATCCGTGACAAAGAGAGCAGGTTAGAGTAACAAGAATTCCTCTTTGGTGCAAATTATCCGCCCTTTTTGAGTTTCCCAATGAATCAATGATGGTCATCCACGCAAAGCAAGTATATTTTAACGCATGTTTCTTATGCCAAATAGAATTATACCAATCAACAGTAGGTAAATGGGAGTAGAATTGGTTAATAAAAGCTTTGAAAACCCAATTAGGAGACCCATTCCAGAGGATCCCAGATTTCTTCATAATATTACAATCCAGAATAGCATCAGAGATGACAGGTGGGATCGAGCTGGGCAAAGACCAATTACCACATAAAATGAAATCTTTTACCATTTTATCATTAAGCATTGAAACGTTTGAAGCATGAGGAATCTGAGAACCTTTAAGCCAAGGGTCCCAGAGCATAGAAAAAGAGCAGTCAGATGCCATAGTAAAAGAGATGTGATCTTTTATATTTAAGGCAGTAGCATGTATCTTTTTCTAGAATTTAGAAGCATTAGTGGGAGGTAGTTTCCAGGGGAAAGTATACAGAGATTTATACTAATCACTTAAAAGATTTTTGGAGTTGTAAAACCTGCCAATGATAGAACAGAACACCCCATGATAGAGAGCTTCCACCGAATGAATACCAAGATCACCAGAACATTTCGGTTGAGTGACTTTAGACCAAGCAATGAGATGTAATTTCTTTTCATTAACATATCTATGAAAGAGAAATCTAGAACAAAGTTTGTTGAGAGAGGCACAACAAGATTTAGGTATGATAGATCCCCTAATCCAATAAGCAATAGTGTTGGAGATAGTGAATTTGAGAAACTGAACCCTACCTGCAAAAGAGAGAAACTTAATTTTCCAACCATCAAGTAGAGCAGAAACCCTGCTCAATAGTGGTTGGAAGTGAGAAATATTGAGCCTTTTTGGAGAAATAGGAAGCCCCAAATAGATGAAGGAGTCTTTAACTTGTTGAATACCCAGCTTATCACAGATATAATGCATCTCAGGAACATCGCTAGAGAAAGTAATAGTGCTTTTGGAAGCATTGATTTGAAGACCAGAAGTAGACCCGAAAAGGTGTAAACATCTATCTAGAGAATCAGCATTTTCCCTAGAAGCAACTCCAAAAACAAGAAGGTCGTCAGCATACATGAGATGGTTTATAGTATTTTCTCTACAACTAATACCTTTGAAGCTAAAGTTATTAGAAGTGTTACAGAGAATATTGAAAAGACCGTCCATCACAATGCAGAATAAGAGAGGAGATAGGGGACATCTTTGTCGAAGGCCAGAAGAGGAGTTAAAAAACCCCTCAAGAGAGCTATTTAAGCATATAGAGAAATGAACCTCCGAGATACAACCTTTTATCCAAGAAACAAAAACTTCAGGAAACCCCTTTTGAATGCCTTTTTGATGTCTAGCTTTGCACAAAATTTCTTGTGAGGACCTTTGAAATCTCTAAGCATTTCAGAAGCAAGAATAATATAATCTGTGGAGCATCTTTTAGCAATGAAACCCGATTGACTATCATGAATAATCAAAGGTAGAATAAATTTGAGTCTGTTGGCAATGATTTTAGCCACTATTTTATAAAAAACATTACATAGGAAAATCGGCCTAAAATCATTAATGTGTGTTGCATGGGAGCTTTTTGGAATCAAAGTAATGACCGTAGCTTTCATCCCTTTAGGTAAGGATCCAGAAGCAAAGAAATTGCTAACAACACTAAAAACATGAGTGCCAATTAAGTGCCAGAACTTTCTATAAAAGGCAAATGAGAAACCATCTGGCCAAGGTGCAGAGGTTTCATTGCCTTCAAAGACAACCATTCTAACCTCTTCAAAAGAAACTGTGGCCTCCAACATACAATGCAAGTGAGAAGGAACCATCTTACCATGATGGATCTGAAGAGGGGAAACCGTAGGGATGGTGGTGGGGTTGTAGAGCGTTTTAAAGTGATTCACAATCGCCTTGGAAATATCAGGGTGAGAAGTAAAATGAACCTCATTGGTGGTAATTTCCTTGATGAAATTCTTGTTGTTTCTATTCCTGAGCTTGGCAAAAAGGAATCCTAGATCATCTTCATCCTAGGTGAGCCATAAAGCCTTTGCCCTTTGAGATATCCAAGAAGTCCAATGAGATTGCATAGATGCAAGGTTCTCATTAATGCATTTCAGACTAGTATTGAGTTCCAAGTTTAAAGGCTGTTTTTGAAGCTCAATCAAGCAAGAATGCTGCTTGGCTTTAAGGTCCAACAAAGAGGTGGATAGGAAATTGGAAGAAGCCCAATTCTTATTCTTAAGAGTCCTCTTAAGGCATTGCAGACTGTGAGAGAAAGAGGCTAGTTGACTTCTAGAAGTCCTAACCGAGAAAGCAGAGTAAACATCATCCCAGAATCCTTCCATATTTGTCCAATAATTTTTAAACATAAATCTAGAAGAAATAGATTTAGCATGAGTAGGAATAAAAATTAAGGGTGTTTGGGGGAAATTGAGGGCTAAGCCCGTAAAGAATCTTATTTTGAAACTTCTGCATCCAACCTAGTCCTTTATCCAACAGTCCTTTGTCCATGAGTGATTTTTTTTTTTTTATGAGTGATTAAGAGCAAGATATTTCATTTTTAGGAGTTATTTTTAAGAAGCAGTTTAATTAACAGAACTAGTGGAAGGAATATGAAATAATTAAAATTTAAATAGGAGTAAATTTGTCAAACAATTCGATAAATTCTGCATTTAAAATGTCTTGAATGCCCAAAAAAATTTGAAGTATTTAACTTAGAGAGAGACTGAGGTTATAGACTATTTAAGCGGGTTGAAAAAGTACTCTCAAGCAATAATAAACTGACAAAATATCTCCAGCGAGATAATTGAAGGGTTTTTTTTTTCTTGAGACAAATATTAATTTTTTTTAATTGGATTAATAAATGGCAAGCCAGATATGCGTATATTTTTGTAAAAAGTTGAAAATTTGTATTTATATATTCCATAATGTTTGAAATTAGAGGAATTTGTCGTTCATTTCATTTCTTGAGAAAATATGCAACAAAGTTAATTTTAGAACAAAATACCCCCACTTGTATGCAAATATTATTTTGTTGCCAATGAATTTTATTTAAAGTTATTTGAATTCGAATCTTTCTTGAGTCTAGAATTAGACGTGATGAAATTCATTGGCAAAAGAGTTTGAAGTTGGAATCAAATGACTTATGTCGTTGTTTTTTTATCAGAAAGTTGGACGGAGGATTGTAGTCAAAAGATGTCCAGGGAGATTTGATGCTCGCAATGATAGATTGTTGGGATGACGAGATCGATGGTATCTAAAGGAAAGAGATATTTGTGATCAAAGCTTGCTAGGGGAAGACGCCCCCAAGCCCTATAGCTTGTCAAGGAGAAAAGGGGCTCACAATGGGCGGAGCTTGTTGGAGCTGTTCTGTCACAAGAGGGATTATAACCTCCTGCTAAGTACGCACCCGTTTATGTACGCGTCTCGATTATGTTCGTAAAATTTTAACAAATACTTAGGATTCAAGATTTATAAATTGAACATGGCATGAATGATCATTTGACGTAAGTTTTGCAGTTTCTTACGTCTGACAGTGAGGGTTGCAGCTTGAATCTTTCTTTAAAATAATTCAAATGATTTCCTAAGATCATCGTATGTTTTCTCCGGCTTCTGCTTGCACCTTAGGGCACAGCAGTTGATCCTCTAAATCAAGAACATGATTATGGAGAGACTATGCGTGTAGACAGGAGAGAAGTCTTTCTACAATTCACGGGAACTGGGGGTGCGAACGGGTGCGAAATCCTTCGACAATTCACGGGAGCTGGACGTGCGGATGGGAGCTAGGCCTGTGTACAGGTGCGGAATCCTTCGACGATTCACAAGAGCTAGACATGCATATGTGAGTGAAATTCTTTGATGAAACCTGAAATACGCACCTATCGGTTCGGTATGCATAAACCTTCTAGGTTTAAGATGCATACTTAAATGAGAGTCTATCGAAATTGACCTTTAAAAAATAGTCTATGGATGAAAGGAATTATTTCATTAGTGATTATTTGGCCCAAAACTGACATTTTAGCATATATCACAAAAAAAATGAACATTTTAACATTTATCTAAAAATAATAATAATAACGAATATTTTTATCTAATTTTTAACAATTATGACTAATAAAAAACAAAAAATTTCTAAAATTTTTTAAACCCACCCTGTAATTGGACGTCCGATGAGATCATGTAATTTTTTTTAGTATTTTAAATTCTGATTAAAGAAAATCATTTGAATAACATGATGGCGTCTTGATCACGTAAATCTTTTTCCAAAGAAATTTTCTTTGATTCAGATATTTTCTTACCATTTTGTCGATCAATCTAAGTCAATTTATTTTATTTTTTAATTCTTATTTTAATGATCTGGCCTCCATTATGGTTTCCAATTACCAAACACTTAAAAATTTATTAAGTTCCCCTAATTACCATATAATCTTCACCTCTCTCCTCGTTAATATAAACTACTCTTCATTTTTTCCTTCCTCAAACCTCTCTCATTTTCTCTCTCTTTCTCTCTTCGAGGATTTCACTTTTCTCCTTCAAATATGAGTTCTTATAACCAACAAGCTGCTCCAGTTGAAGGTAATAATACTAATCCTTTTGTTGTTTGACAAATCTTTTTTTTTTTTTTTTGAAAGATTGGGGAAAAATTCATCTTGGTTCAGATTTGCCTGTTAAAAAACGATTAATCTGATCAGAATCCAAGCCAGAAAGGGCTTTTTGATATCAAAATTAGATCAGATTTTCTCTCTCTTGTCAATCTTCAAGCTAAAATTTTGATCCTTCATACTTATAAGCATATTTGATTCAATCTAACCTCGGCTTTTTCTCTTTGATCCAAGTAAAAAATGATCCGACATCAATCAATATTCCTAACAAAAACAATACAAAGAAGAGACAGACAAAAGAATGAATATTCTTAACGTTTTCAGTTTGCAAGCCTCCCAATTAACTAAATCATATCATTTGAAAGCTTTATGAGTAATTACCTATGGAATTATGACCAAGTAATACGATTATACTTGTTTATATCTCATAGTATCTTATAAATTACATGTTAATCAACTTAATTTTTCAGTTTATCCACCACCACAAACAGCATATCCTCCTCCAGGAACAGGGCTGGCTTACTCCGCTCCTCCGGCCACCGTCCAACCTCCGGCATATTCCGCCGCCCCTCCGCCAGGTTACCCGGTCAACGGCGCTATCCCTTACACTCAACAAGTTCCAGTGGAGACAAAGCAAAGAGGTGATGGCTTCTGGAAAGGATGGTAAGTATTGGTCAAGCCTTTGTAAGAGTGTAACATTCGTTTTTATAATTTTTATAAAAGAGCATAAGGTGAATCCAATGTATGAGGTCCCTTGAACAAGATCTAGAGAGAAGGATAGTCATGTGAAGGCACCCTTTGTGGCAAAGAAAGCCGAATTTGGATTTCATAACTCATAAATCTGACCTCAAATACTATATATAAAGCTAATAATGTTGATGATTATAATAGTGTTTTCATATAGTTTCTATAAAACTTAAGAGAAAATTTTGTAAGATGATGGTTAGACCTGCAGTGCTTTATGGTGTAGAATGTTGGTCAGTAAAAGAGAAGTATAATATTAAGTTAAGTGTTACAGAGATGAGGATGATGAGGATGTTCAGGTGGATGAGTGGCTTTTCTCTTAGAGACATGATAAGAAATGAGTATATTCATGAAAAGGTTGGAGTAGCTCCAATGAAAGATAAGATTAGAGAGAGTCGCCTAAGATGGTTTGGTCATATAAAAGGCGACCTTCAAATGACTTGATTAGGAAAACAGATGTAGTAATTTGGCTTATGTTAAAAAAGGTTAGAGATAGATCTAAAAAGACTTGTTTAGAAAATATTAGAAATGACCTTTCTTTATCAGATTGAAATGAGAATTTAACTTTTAACATGCCACAATGAAGAAAAAGGATTCATGTAACTGACCCTATATAGTGAGATAAAGGCTTGATGTTACAACAGAATGTTAAACTACTTGTTTTTCTCTTTGTTAGCGCTGCTGCACTGTGCTGCTGCTGTGTTCTGGAAACCTGTTGCGAGTAAAAGTGGAGCTACAGGCTTCAGTTATCATCACATTGAACCTTTAATCTATATGGTTTGAATTAATTTAAGTATTGTATTTACTCATTATATATGTCTTGTTTATGGATTGTGATCATTTTATTGTATTATGTACCTTTTGATGTTTTCTCTTACTGTCCAAAGCTGTTCAAGCACTGCTGGGTTGTGTAAGCCATATGTAACTGTTTTGTTTCCATGAATCTATCTCCATTTTGTATCAAGAGAAAGCTACAATTTATATAATTTTGTGATATTGATAAAAAGATTATTATAATTATCATCTTGTTAATTACATTATGCAATCTTTCTCACTTCCCGCCACTCAAACAATTTTAAGTTGCGAAGATGTTCACTTCTAACTATGGGTCTATTTAGGACGTCTATAGCGTTCTATAATGATAGTTCTGAAGTTATTATGGGAAAAATAATTTTTCTGAAAGCTGTTGTGGATATTATAAATATGTTCTTTTCTAAAAATATGAACAGCTACTTTATTAAAGCTACCAAACATTAGTAACTCTTGTTGTAAAAATCAGCTTCCCACTACAAATTTTTTTAAAAACAACGAAAAAACAATAAGAAAGCATTAGCTAAAATAGAATCGTAGTTGCGATCTAAAAAGTAAGCAATGAGAAAATTGTCCCAAACAGATTCTTAATTATATATGTTATAGTCAATATATTCGTCATTAATCTTATCCTAATTATATATGCATTCTCCTCTGTGTAGTTCGTTCAAACTAAGCAGAGCCTAAGCAGATCACAAGCTGAAATGAATTGATTTGACAATGATTTCTCTCAATATTTATGCTTTGTTTGGGATGACTTTCTTATTTATTTTTAAGGCTTCGTTTGAAATGACTTTTTTGTTGCTTCTCAAAGCAGCTTTTTAGTATAAAAATATTTATTTTTATATTAAAAAGCTGTTTTAAGAAGCAAGAAAAAGCTGTCCCAAATGAAGCCTAAATCAGCTTTTCAGTACAAAAATTTTTAATTTAAAAAATTTTTAATTTAAAAAATTTTTGCACTGATAAAAATGCTTTAAGAAGTAATTAAAAAGCCACCTCAAACGAAGCTTGCCATTGAAATAGAGCCTGTTACACAACTCTCCTTGGCTTATTGGTTGAGAGCTTAGGCTTCCAACTAAGAGGTCCAAGGTTCGAGTCTATGTTTATTTAAAATAAAATGCAATACTTATAGATAAACAAACTTCAATCTTTTATATCTTCTTGCTTCTACTTAATTGGTGTTTTACACTTGTTGATCTTTGTATATGTTCGACGATCAATTCAGTGCGTTGAGAAAGGAGAATAATGGATATATCGCAAACAAAAGCATCGAGACAACTCCGTTACTATCAAAATTACTCGAGACTTTATCTGATTGTGAAATATGTTACACTTATGCGCTCAGGACACCGAATTTGTTGAGGAAGAGTCATTCATGTGTAATTCAATCTAAATTGACGACGAGCATGACTGTTGGCAAGCATGATACTACATAAAATTATTCAAATGACCTCCAATCATCAAACAGACTGCGTCGATGTGATCAGAGCATCAAAGTTACCCAATGAGGGACCCCTCGTAATTGAATCGAATAAAAGCAATCAAAATCGACAAACTATAAGCGAAACGTCAAAATCACATAGAAAAGGCTATAATATTGCCCAGGTTAACATACACTATAAAAAGATGAAATTAGAATTAATTTCAAGGTGACACTGCATGAAATTGCCCAAATTACATCCCGATCACGAAACAAACTTCACCATTGCGCTTAGAATATCAAAATTTCGTAAGGAATAATCACTCGTGATCAATTTGAGTGCATAAGATCAGAATCGATGGGCTACGGATGGAATATTGCCCGACGCTGTCTGAAAGTCATCCATTAGTGAAACAGACTTCACAGTTATGCTTGGAATATAAAAAATACCTAGAAATGATAATAAAATTGCATGGGTCATTGCACGAGCAAAAATGCAAAGTTGGCATGAGTTTTGAGGTGATGACATGCAAATTAGAAGCCCGAATAAAAAAATAACTTTGCTAGGGTTAATTCTCATTTCATTATGTTTGTTGATCCCAGTTCAAAAATTTGTTCATCTTGAGGTAGGTTACATTTTGTCCATTTTTAAGTATTTTTTTTTTATTAAATTTGTATTTTTGTTATAAAAAAATGAGGATAATTTTGTTTTGGTAAAAATTTTCCCACATAATTTTTATATGTTATAGAGATTGATATTATGAACATTTTGAGTATATTTTGAAAATATTTTATCGGGTGATTTTTAAAAAGCAATAAATTTTACCTACTCATAAATTTATTTTAATATCTAAAAATAGTTCTTCAGCTTAATTAAAGTTTCATAATAATATTTTACACAATCACTGATAATTTGATTATATTTTGAAATAGTGAATTTTCATTCAATAGTGTTTCTATTGCCTACCGTTGGGGCATTTTGATCATTTATGAATTTAATCCAATTATGCTTTACTTAAATAAATACCAAAAAATATGAGTGAAATGTGACGTGATGTGATGTGATATGATGCTGATGCCAATGGGTGATCAAGGTGGGATTCTATTATGTCGACGCCAGTGAGCAATTGATATGAGAATTCTGTTATGTCGACACTAATGAAAAATCTAGGTGGAATTCTGTTAAGTCGGTGCCAGTAGTGGGCGATGGAGGTGAGATTCTATTATATTGGGACCTATGGGCTATCGAGGTGGGATTCTATTAATGAAGACAGATGGATAGTCTCAAAAGACTATTCATGTAATGGAGGATCTTTTGAGACTTTGTGTTCTAGACTTTGGCGGTAGTTGGGATGACCATATCTTATTGATAGAGTTTACATATAATAACAATTATTAGTCCATCATAGGCAAGGCTCCTTACTAGTGCAATGAATATAGTAACTTGTTAGTCAATATACATAAAGAAACTAGCATTGGATGCAGCTCAACCGACAATCCACATTAACATGTAAACAAATACACTAAAGTTACCTGCAAATGGTGGTATTCCCTGCAGATATACATAGGCTGCATGCAATAAATAGGGTGTTCACACTGTCAACAACAATCAAGCATTCAATAAATACATCGATATCCTATAAGCAAAGGCGGTTGATCCATGATAAATACGAACTCCTACAAGCTGCTGTAGAAGACCCTTCATGCACAAAACATGTTATCTTCAAGCAAAATACAGAAGAACTGCAATAAATGCAAATACTTATGGGCAATGCTAGAAGATCTATATTTAGCGGCTTGCCCTAGATAATAGTGGAAGGCTCCCTCCTACCAACAATGATAATAAATGTATTGCAAGCTACAAGCCACTATAAGAGATTCAATGCGTACATAGCAGTCTACCTACGAGCTAGGATGATAATTTATGAATGTCCGTTGATAACCTACAATAAGATTTAATAAAACTTGTACAATAAGACAGCTTGCCTGCAAGAAGCAACGGGGAGCCCATAACACAGCGCTACGACCCACATACAAGTAAAATATATGTTAAATGCAGTCTACTTATATGTAATCGTGGATAACATTGAATTTCCGATGACGACACACTACCAATAAATAAATCCAACAAAGCTTGCAATGCACAATAGCTCACTCGCAAGAAATAATGAGTGACCCGTAACACAATGCTACAACATTAAGCTACTGCACAACATGCAAAATATAATACAAATATGATTAAGTATCATGTAAATGCAAAATACATCATACATGTATACATTAATATACACAAATGCATCATGCTAACTACATATAAAAATATATACCTGCATCAGCCCCGACGAGTGTGTTGTATGTACATGCGTGATGTCTAGGATACTGCGCGGGTCAAAAATGAGTCAAAGTTTGAGTTCAAGCCTTCTCCTTGAAAGGACAGAAGTTGACACGACTTGAACCATCAAATAAATATATGATCGTGACATCGACCAAGATATTTATTTTATGCATTCATATTAGACCTTCAAGATCTATAATAAGAAAAAAATACTAATAAATGCATAAACCAATGACGAACCCGATCCTTTGTTAGTAAGTAGACAAAGTCGATAAGGTTCACCAACAAAATAAAATTGCCCATAAGTACCCGATAATATACGTGTTAACAAAAAACCTCAACTAAAGGGGACCCAAACATTAAAATGCATTCTAAATTCCCACAAAAAATTCAAAACTCAAAAATCACCAAAATCTAAATATTTAAAATGGAAATAAAAATATCAAAATAATTAAAGTAAAATTCATCCACGTACCCTCCACAACAGTTTGCCGAGGTGAATAAATTTGAAAACCACTTTAGCTAACAAAGAGCAAATGTCTGGTCGAGAATATTACTATGATTCAATCTCAATTCATCTCTTGTCAGTAAAACGTGAAACATGTCATCTAACCGATGATTTTGTCACTAAATGACACTACAGGTAAATAGTTATGACCGGGACCCTCTGTTTGGGTGATTTTGCCGCCAAATGGCACCATTAAATTATTGTCATCATCAGAGCCCGTATATTCCCCAACGACATTAAATTTTTGAGTAATGAATCAATAGGATATGATTGATAGGATATAAATCCCTCTGCTAGCTAAGGTGGATTCCAATATGCCCCTTTAGGCAAATATTCACCCAAAATTTATAAGGTACCCTTAAACGAAGCAACACATGGCTGCCGATAATGTCCTTTTGTCAGGTTAGGTCTACTACCTCTTCTGACTAAGTAGACCAAGGATCATGATGACCCGAGATGAGGAACCATAGGATCTTGATCGGGTCTATCATCACTCTCACCACCATCTGTTTCAAGTGCAAGGTGGTGAATTTCTAATTTTAAATATTAATTTTTTAAAATATCAAATCACGCTGCTACTATATATTGGATACTACGTATATGTTTGAAGACTATCCTTAATCGAAAGTTCTCTCTCTCACTATCGGGCTTGCGCCTATAGGAAACCTAAACTCAGTTTATAAAGTCCTTACAAAATGAGGGCAAAATCTTTGGGTAATGTCTTATTCAAAACCCAATCTGCCTTTTTTAAAATTTACCTCGAAACTTACTCGTTAAAACTTTCCTCAATGACACAAAAAAAGAAAGGGACCGTGGAGAGGTTGGGGCGCAAATTTTTTGAGCTCACAACATACATGTATTAATATATAATTAATTACAAATATGCCTATAAATGTATAACTATATAATTAACATTAATAAAAAGTTTTAAAAAAATATTCTCCATAAATTAAATAACTTATTCAAACCCACTTAAAATTTTTCTGAAAATCAAACTCCAACTCAACTCTAGGAGAGAAACCAGCATCTCTTTTGAGGACGAGCAAAATAGGAGATTAAGGCATGCATAATCTTATGAGTGACATAGAAAATAATTTTTTTTTTTAAAGAATTTTATGCAAATGCATTTATTGAAGATTAGCAAAATAGCTAAAATTCTTATTCTGCTATGAAAAATAAACTTTCGGGATGGTCAATTGGATGGACAATTAAAATCTTGAGTTAAAGCCTACTCTAACTCGACTCAGATACCACCTTATCTAATTTCTTAGAACCTTCCTTAACGTGGAGCAGTTATACTTGCCAATGAAACTATCATCTTTCAAAGAATTAGAACATTACTTGCCGTTCAATAACTCCTTAGAATAAAATATCATTTTTTCCATAAAGAACAAGTCATCAAAAACTTAAAAAAGAATCCATCTGTCCACTTTCTGAGACTTTTTAAACTTGTTCTACATCAACTTTCCAACTACTCCCAATATGAAGCCATAGTTCTTTGACTCACATTTCATTACAACGCGTAGAAAGCTGCATAGGTTGAAGAAGCCTTCCTTCCTAAGGAACAAATCCAACGCAGAAGGAAAAATTATAAATACTGAAGAAACAGCTCCACCATTTGCATTCAGCTCTTCATCTCCTCTCATCAGTTACAGGTTCTTTCTCCAGTTGCCTGTACGTTTGGTCATCGTCATCGTTCAGAAAGCATGAATTCCTATCCCCAGGGTAATCTTCAAGGTAGTTTACTTTGATCTGATATCCATCATATAGATTTGTTTAACCTTCTTTCCTCTTTTTTCTTGCTTTATTTCTCTCAGAGACGAGGAATATTCATTAGTAATGGAAGAAGATAGAATGATTAGGCAAACAGTCTATTTAACTATCTGTTTATGATATTTCTGCTAGCAGTGGTTAAGTTGCTCTGTTGTATTATAGGGATCTGAGCTTCAATTCATGGAAGAATAATCAAGTAAATATAGGGGTAATATTGCGTGCAACAATAGGCCTTCCCAAAGGAAAAATTATTTTGTGCCGATCGGGACGGCATTTGGAGACCAACCAGAACCCGCCACGTCACTTTTTGTTCGGAATCGCTCGGTACAGGATGACGTGGCACGTTTTGATTGGTCTTTGGACCATCCGGTACCCGCACAGAATAATTTCTCTTCCTAAAACTCTGTGGGCACTACTGTTTTTGAAGATATTTCTGTTGAAATTTTTGGTTGAAAAACGTTGTTGAATGATGTGGCATATTTATAAGTTATCTTTATGGACTTTTGTATTCACATGTTTTGAGAAAAAAAAAAGAGGTAGACTGCTATGTGCAACTTCATTTGGTAACTTTTGTTAGGATAACATGAACAAGAAAAAAATACACATACAAATACATAGAAAATATGCAATCACAAACATACACAAAATTTATATGATTCGATGAGACAATCTACGGTATAAAGAATATGGGATTGGGTGTGGAGAAGAAGATATTGGTCATGTTGCTATTACTCTCTTCCCTTTTATACTTGAGGACTCTAAATAAGAGCTTGTCGTTGATCTTCTCCTTTTGATGGACTTGAAACTAGCAAATACCTCATGCTTGAAGCAAAAAACATCCTACTTGAATTGCCCAGAAAAAATCTCTTCTATCTTGACTTAGGCTTCGTTTGAGACAACTTTTTTAATGTTTTCCAAAGCAGCTTTTTAGTATAAAATTCTTACAAAATTTTGTATGTTTTTTGCTTCTTGCTAACAAATTTGAATTATGCAGCCTACCCCCCGCCGCCAACGTCTTACCCTCCACCAGAGCAGGCGTACACGCCGGCACCCTATGTTGCACCACCTCCTATGGGCTACCCAACTAATGACACGTCGTCTTACCCCCAAAAAGTTCACTCCGATACTAAGAATCGTGGCGACGGTTTTTGGAAAGGATGGTAAGCCTTTATTTGAGATCTCTTTCTTTGTATATCTATTAGTTCAAGATTTTTTTTCATCATGAATGGCCCTTTATCCAACAGATGAACACCTGTAAATTGTGGTTTTAACCCTTGGCTTCCTTTCTTTTATAATTACAGTTGTGCTGCCTTGTGCTGTTGCTGTGTGTTGGAGACATGCTTCTGATAGAGAAGAGAATTTTCTTAATGAACCTTGCCAGCATCTCAGTGGCCATTTTATTGTATTGAATTATTATAATTCTTGGGAGATATGCCTTTTCAGTTATAGTTTCATATTGTATTAGTATTGATTATTTGTTTGTGTAGTCCAACTTTGTAACATTTTAGTGAACATTTTACTGTATTGAATTACTAGAATTTTCAGAAGATATTGTATTGGTACTGTTTATTCTTTTGTTAGGTCCATATGGTAATACTTTCGTTACATTCAGAGAAAATAATTTACAAAACCTTTGAACTCTGCTTAGACCAAATAAATGAAAATGAAATCATTATTCTTCAGAATAAGCTTTTGATCTACAAGAAACCAAATGGAGCCCTATTGTAAATCAAAACTGAGAATTTAAAACATAATTGAAGACAAATTTAAGTGACCGGAAACAAGAATTTCAGCGTTTGAACGATCGAGTGAAAAGAAAATGAGATAAAGGAAAGCGACTAACCCATCATATTCATTTTCCAAGTAATAATATTAGGGTTGCAAGCGAACTAAGCGTTTGATGGTTACTCGTTGCTCGGTTCAATTAAAGCTCGTTTGTGATTGTTTAATTAACTAAACAAACAAACAAACTTGAACAACATTTTAAATACTCGATCTTTAAGCAAACAAGCTTGAACACTAATGTGTTCGGTTCATTTATGTTCACGAACATCATTTGAAGCTCGTGAAGAAGCTTGATTCGTGTTCGATTCAAAACTCGTGAATAAGCTCGATAAAAAATTGATTAATATTTATGTATAAAATTGATAAATATGCATAATATAAATATGCCCATGTTTGTTTAAGATGTTCATAAATAAATAGATCGTTTGTCCGTAAACGAGTTCATTTGGTAGCTCAAAAACACTATATATATATTCATGATCTTGCTCATTTGATAGCTCAAGAGCTCAAGAATACTCTTTAGATTTGTTCATGAACGTGTTTGTTTGATGGTTTAAAAAAAAAAATCGCTAAATATGTTCACGAACATAGCTCGCTAAGGCTTGTTTGTTTAAAGCTCGATAAGCACTAAAAGCGAACCGAACATGAACCAAACATGAACAACTATTAATTTAAACGAACCAAACATGAACACACACAATAAACCTCGAATCAAACACAAGCCGAACTTGAACAAGCTGATAATAAACGAACTCAAACATGAGCACTCACATACTCGACTCGGCTCGATTTATTTGCAGCCCTAAGTAATATTCTAACATATTCCTGTCAGAAAATAATCTAGCCTTTCAAAAAACATAAAGACAAACAAGCTGGTGACTGGAGACCATGATAGTTTTTGTCTTATAATACTGCAGATTAGGAGGAAGGTTGTTGGCCTGTAGCTTTCTGCACGATTAAAGTGTTTCTTTTGGAAGATATTAAGTACTTGGAATGGGTTCTCTCCTTTGATTAAGTAGGTAAATGGAGTAGTGGCAGAAGATTGAATAATGGATTCGGTTGATGGCTTTATGACCTGATTGGCTATCAAATCAAATAGCCCACCTGTTCCATGAGTCATGGCTTACTTATCAAGATGTAGCTATCAGCCACATCCCATATCTGTATGTGGATCTCTAGCAATGCTGTATACCAGCTTTTTTAGTTATGGATTAGGTATATGGAAATTTGTATAGAACCCCCAGCAATTTGTCCTTTTTGTTTTGAGGATGAAAGCTTAAACTAGTGTAAATTCATTATTAAGGCTTCATTTGAGACTATTTTTTTTTTCTGCTTTCTATAGTAGCTCTCTAGCACAAATTTTTTTAAAAAATAGTGAAAAAATAATGATCAAAAGCTGTCCAAATGAAGCCTAGATTTGAGCAACGGTAGCATAGATGCCAGTTTTTTTCTTGAAAATCAAGTACATGCACAATTTACCCAAGGTAACCATTCTTGGCATTCTGAATATGCAAGTATAGATGCAAGGATTCCTAACAATTCATGAAGTAATACAAAATTTTTACAATAAATTTTTTTAAAAATAAAATTCATACAAACTAAAACCAACACTGGCCAAAGCCGGTAGATTTTGAATGACACCGACATGAGCTCCTCTACGGCAACACAAGGTCACTAGCATTGATGCAAGGTTATCAATACTAGCAACCTCACGTACAAGTGAAATTATTTTGTGCGGATGCCAAATGCCATCCAGAGCCCAATGAAATTGCACCACGTCACCTCCTACTCGATATCGCAGCTCGGTATTGCTCGGTACTGGATGACGTGGCTGCACCTGATTCGCCTTTGGACGATAAGCTTTGTTCGGTGTCTGGACAGAATAATCTCTCCACATACAAGCACCCTCAAGCTAGTGGTCGCTTCTTTGTGCTCGCACAGTGGTGGCAAGGTCGTGGGTGCTCGCTAGCCAATCCAAGCTGGCAGTAGTGGAAGCCATCATATGAAACTTTAAATGAATGAAAAGGAAAAAAATGGCACCAAAAGAGAATAAAACCCATCTCACCAATAATCTCCACAAGAGCACTCCCCATTTCGAAAATGATGGAATCGAGAAACATCTCTTAGAATAATCTCCCTACCTGAGATTCTGGTAATGAACTTCATGGTAATATGGCAGTCATCACATACTCTTAAGTTTTTCATTACCCTAATGGGTTTTTCAATACTTGCACAGATAAGTCCAAAAGAAACTGCCAATTTCTCGCTATGATATGATTTCCTCCCATCCTCTCTAAAGCTTAGGACATCAGACACATAGCCCTCTTTTTCAATATTTTTAACCATTTCCTCTAATGCCAAAATAATCTCATTCATTCTTGGATGTAAATTATCATCAGCAACAAAGTAATGCACCACATTATCCACCTCAAGCCAACTATATCCAGGATCTTTCTTTACTCCAATGCCCTTCATCTTTTTTCGCACTTTCGCAGCTTCTTCTAACTCACCACACTCAGCATATAAGTGATAGAGTAAAACATGAGCTGAAGCATTGCATGGTTCTATATCAAAAATTTTCATAGCTGCAATTTCTCCCAATACCAAATTTTTATGGACTCTGCAGGCTCCAAGCAATGAACCCCAAACGGCAGCATCTGGGTTTTGCATACTTTTAATGATTTCCCTTGCTTCCTGCAAACAGCCAGCACGGCTTAGTAGGTCCACCAGTAAGGTATAATGAGTATCATCCGGTATGATACCGTATATCTTCATGCAATCAAAATAATAACGGCCATCTTCCACAAGTCCTGAATGGCTGCAAGCCATGAGCAGCCCAACAAAGGTAAAGGAGTCAGGATGGATTCCCAATGCTGTCATCTCCTTGAAAAAACTGATTGCTTCTCTTCCATATCCGTTTTGCGCAAACCCAATGATCATGGAACTCCAAGTGACAATATTCCTTTCTTCCATTGCCTCAAAGATCCGACGAGCATCCTCCATACCCCCGCACTTAGCATAGACATCCAGCAAAGCAGTTCCAACAAACACATTTTTGACAACTGGTGTTTTGGTGACAAAACCATGAACTTGCATCCCACAAGATAAATTTGCCAAAGCTGAAATTGAACTGAGTACAACAGCAAAAGTAATATGGTCTGGTTCGATCTCCGTCTCCAGCAACTCCTTAAACTTTATCAAGCAATCCTCCGCCAGAGAATTGTGAGATAACCCAGTCAAAATCACATTCCAAGAGACAATGTTTTTGTCCTGCATCTCATAAAAGACATGACCAGCATAGTCAAGCCTTTGGCACCTGCAATACATATCAACCAAAGAAGTGCAAGCAAAGACGTCACCTTGCAATCCAAAACGGTGCATTTGACAATGCAAAAGCTTCCCATTATGCAGTGATGAAGAACGGGCGCAAACCTGGAGGGCACTAGAAATTGAGAATTGCGTCGGGCGATGCCCTTCCTGAATCATCCTAGCATACAAACGCAGAGATTCTGGTCCATCCCCCTCTTGGGCATACCCTTTAATGATTGAATCCCAAGAAACGTCAGTTTTGCATGGCGAGTCCTCAAAGAACTTGCGAGCAAGGCCAGTATTCCCAGCTTTGATGGCTCCAGTGATCATTATGTTCCATGTGAAGAGGTCTCTAGTGCACATTTCGTCGAACAGCTTGTGAGCAAAGGAAGGTTGGCCGGCTTTTAGGTAAGCCTGGAGAAGGCGGTTGGAGAGGAAGGTGCGGAGAAGAAGGCCAGACTTAAGAATGAGGGTATGGAGGGCTTGAGCTCCTTGAAAAGAATTGGAGTGAACGCAATCTTGTAGGAGGTGAGCCAGGAAAGAGAGGTTTGGGGAAGCCATAGAGAGGGACTTGAAAATCTAGCCGTTGGCATCAGGCTTCTCTTTGTGATTAAGGGTTTGCAGCGGCTTGCCCATATTGGTTATTTTATTATATTATCAAGATTGTGGTTTTAAGGGATGATGAACTTGTTGATATTCCAAGTATTTTTCATATGAGTTGCAACTGATTAATTTTTTAGAAATTTTTTTGGAGGGAACATATTATGTTCTATGTTGGATAAACTTTAGATTTTCATGCACTGAACACACTTGCCATGCTTGTAAATTTTAACAAAATGAGTTATTTAAACTATAGATCATGCATCAACTCTTTTACACTTATATGGAAGAGGTGTCTTCGTTGCAAATTCTATTTTCTATGGCAAATCATTATAATGTTATTCTACAAATATTATTTTTATGATTTAATATAATAATTTAATTTAAATAGTCTCTTTTAATGTGCATAGAATTTTTTGCTGACTAATAATTTGTCCTTCTAACAACTACTAATTTATAGCAACAAGAGTTATTTTTACAAATCAACATCTTAAGAATGAAGCAATCTATTCATAATTCAGCCCAGATTCATAATTTTTCATCCAATCTGTTTCTGCCAATTAATGATGATCAATGCTCCCATGAGACTTTGGATTTATTTGGGACTTTTTTTCATCGCTTTACCTATAATTTTATTTGGTCATTATCTTTTTGTTGCTTTTCTCATCTTTCGTTAAAAATTTTGTGATACAAATTATTTTTCTGACCAAAATAGTTAAGTTATTTTTCCTACAACAATTTCATAATCAATTTTGTAAAATATTACGGCCATCCCAAATAAACCCTCCATCATACATTTATGTTCAATCAAACTTCAAATTTACATTATTGCATAGGGCATATATTATACATAAAAGAAAAGTAAGATATACATAGCTTAGAGTTCACATTATAAAAACATCATAATCCAATATTTAACCACTAATAGCAACCCCAACAACCATTTGGGATTTCGTAGTAACAGAGACATGGGACTCAGCTATATGTATCTGCTGCTCCGTTTCTTCCAAGGAGCGAGATAAAGCATCCACCATGGCTGGAAGATCAATTGTTTCAATGACAGGATCAGTTACGTCTGAGGCTATGACTTCCCACTCATCTTTGAGTGCTGTAAGGTTGGTCTCCTCTGCTCGCTTCTCGATATCAAAAGCTGTGGGAAGGATAACATAATCATTGATGGGATTATAGAAAGGATCGGGCTCGCCGGCTTTCAACCAGTGCTTCAGTATTCTGAACACATGGCGGTCGCAGACTATTCCTCGGTGGTCCGCATGAACTGCAACTCTTATCGCAGCATCAAATCCATCAGCCTGGAAATATAAGTTTCAGCCTCAAAGTTAAAGATATGATGGTTCTCAGAATGTGTAGTAGGTTTCGTTTGGGACGGATTTCTTACTGCTTCGTATAGCGGCTTTCTAGTTCAAAATTTTTAATTTTTATATCAAAAAGTCACTTTAAGAAGCAAGCAGAAAGCTATCCCAAATGAAGCCGCAGATTCAAGATTATGGCCTTTAGTAGTGCTTCTCCTCAGTTACTGTCTATTTTTTTGGCCGAATCAAGCAAATTGCTTTGGCCCAACTTTTGATCCATTCCGATCAGTTTGGATTGTAGGAAACGAAATACAAGTCATTTATGGGGTTTTTATGACTCAACAGTCACTGTTTTGTTGTTCTTTTACACAATTAAAATATTGAAAATAGCTACTTACTTTGGCTGACTCTGTTGGAACTGTTCCGTCTCCATCAACACATATATACTTGGCCTATGAATAAGGGAATCATGTTAAGCTTTATTAAAATAGCGTATCAAAAGAAGCAATCACTCAAAGCAGCGTTCGTAGTAATGTAGAGCAGAATACTACATAAAATAACATTAAAAAAACAACTAGATTTCAGATTTGATTAAATGCCAATTCTAAATGAGCTTTAGCAATACCAAAAGAAAGATATAAATAGCAGCCTCAGAAAAAAAAAAAACTAGTTAGGCTTCGTAGTTTAGCACAATCTAATGTATACACGCAACACACATGGTTGCATTTGACTGTTACTGTTAAATTAAACGTATGAGAACCAGAAAAGAAAAGAAGTAGAAGAATCAGTATTTTAAAAAATAAAGAAAAAATATTTGAACTCATTGAAAAACAATTTCAGAAATAGCCTGAGACAACACTCATTCAAACCACTTAATCATTCCTGCTGTTCTACCTGATAATTTTTTTAGCACAACTCTATTTAGGTTACTTTAGTCTATCCTTTCGTTCTTGGTACCTACACATCAATTTAATCAGGGCATCTCCAACCGAACTCCAAACACATGAATGGCGTCACTCACGAGCTCCATCCGAACGGAAAAACTTCCGGTATTTAGTTGCGGGTGAACAGTGCAACGCTAGTTCACTTGCCTTATTTTTCTGTCTCTACCGGATTTGTCAAATAAATGCGCGAAAGAGGAGAAAGACGGTTTCCTTCTGTGAATGGAGCAAAATGGAGTTCCATTGAAGATAAATCACTCCATTTTTTAGTTTCACTGCATGTTGCAGGGAAAAATGAGATTTTCGGCTGGAGATGCCCTCAGTCGTATTGACTCATTTTCTATCCTCCACTATATATGCTACAGTAATTTAAGTTTATTTTGCGCTACCTAATTTTCAATAGATCCAATCCATTAGTCGCACTCAAGTGAATAATACCAAAATGCCAATAAATCATCTGTATGTCACAGCTATTTCTATGGAATAAGCAATTTGCTGGCTTCTGACTTATTACACCAGTCTGACCACTAAAATAGCATGTTAGTGGACGGTGTTAACTCAATCCAGTTCCAAAAGTTGTTGCTGGCATAATACAATAATGTAATTACGTCATCTGGATGCCGTTAGATTATTTGTATGGATTATGAAATAACATATATGCACTCTAACTTGACTAGTTTAAAGCCCACGGAAAGGAGACTATAATGTCCTTATAAAACAATAAAAGAGATGAGAAATATATGGTTACCTATACTAATCATAGCATTGCTGTCAATTAGTAATCCTCCGGTTAACATCAAACAATCAAATGGACAGATAATTTTAAAAGTTTATAAAAAGTGAGAACATGCATTGAAAAGAATTAAGGCATGCTTTAGAAGCCATATGCATTACACTTCAGCAAATGCCCATTTAAGGGCTTCGAAGATTAAACATTATTCAGAAAAAGAAAATCACCTGGGCAGACATCAGTTCTTGTAGTTCCGTAATAGGAGCTTTTTCACTCCCGTAGCTGCCAATAAAACAAAACAGATAGTAATGAGCAAACCTTAGCTAACTACAAGAGTTTTAAATATGCTCCTAAAATATCCATGTCTGCCTGTGTCCAAAGCCAGGGTTTTGCGTTTGAGAAATATCCAAAGTACTCATTTATTCCAATGCATAAAAAACTTACCAGAAGAAGTATAAATATGTTCTTAACACATTGTTTGTAAGCATGCTACTAAAGCCTAGATTTTGGGGCCAGAAAAGCAGCCCGAGCTCCCTTTTATTAAAACTCAATGCCTTTTAAGGAGTTAATTGATAAACCTATATTTCAACATGTTACAATTTTTGCTTAGATATCACGTTTTATAAAATAAAAATTAAATAAATAAATAAAGAAAAAAATTTCTGCGGGGGCATACCTCTAAAGTTAGGTTTCATTTAAAACAGCTTTTTTATTATTTTGAAGTAGGAAAACAGTGTCCGTTGGATGACAGTTTTTTCAAGATTCTCTCTTAGAAAATCTGCTTTTGAAATAGTATAACAGAAACTGTGGCTAAACAACAACTTGTAACAGCAAAACTGAAAAGCATAAGCTGCCTAGAATGAAGTATTACTTAGTCCTCTTTGTCGGGAGAGCATTCTTGACTAACGAGGCTGCTAATGAAGGGAACTAGAAAGATTTAAGCCCAATGGATAACACAAAAGAAAGAAGAACACGACTCAATCCAAAACTTAGTAAGTAATACCAGATAACATTAAACAAACTGAAATTGTATTTTTAGAACAAAGAAAACTAAAAGAAAATCCCCTAAAAAAATTAGCTAGTGGTCACCTCACATATAACGACAAATTAGGTAAATATAATGCTCAAGGACATGCAAACTAGTGGTCCACCAAAACAACTTTGATCCAACGTCCGCCACAACTCCTCCGGCAAATACAAACAAAACTGACCAACAACACTACTCTCACTTTTAGAAGAAGGATACAATGGGGTGGAAACTTGTGGAGAGAAGAAAGGGTGAGAAGACTTGGAAGAAGAACAAGAAGTGAAGAAGTAGCCCTCAAGCTAGAGAAGAAACCCTCAGGTTTTTAAATTTTATTCACTTTCAGAAATTGCCCACAACAGCCCAAAACACTTCTTTAAAAAGGAAAGAAAATGAGGCCAACAGCCAAGCACAACCATCCACTACAGCCAATCAAAAAGGGGAAGAAAAAGGCAACAATAAAGGCATGGTAGAAGCCCACCCGAACAGCCAGAAAATCGGGAAAGCCAAGGGACAGCAACAAGAACCGAATAGCCAAGTCCAGGGGAACCGGGAAAGCCAGGGAACAGCAGCAGAAACCAAACAACCAAGCCAGGGGAACAGTAACCAAACAGCCAGGCCTAGCAAACAGCAGCTTAGCCGCCCCCACGAAACCCAAATCAGCCCAAACACAAAGCACCCAAAGAGGCTAGCACACCAAAGGAAAAACATGTCCAATGAGCACATAAATCATATATGATCATCAGTTGCCTTCCATCATTGGGTAAACAAAAATTAAACTCAAAATTTACAATAACATAAAAAAAACATGAGCATGAAGAATTGAATGCATCAGCTAAGCTCTATTTGATACGTAAGTGCTTGCACTAGGCAAATGGCGTTTGTTACATGTTCCTCATGTATGGAGTGAAAGGTTGGGACAATTGAAAAAAAAAAGAGCCAGATTTGTTTTAATATTACGGAACTCAGTAAAAAGGTTGGGACATAGTTGTTTCCCTTATGATGTGAAATGCATAGGTATGTAGTTCAGTCTTCAGCATGCAAAACCGTAAAATATGAAAATTTGCATTGTTGAAGTTTTTAGAGAAAAAGCAAGAAAAGATAATAGCTGAAAGAACATACCAGACAGTGTGAGGTGTGTCGATATTAGATCCATATATATTGTAAAATTTAACTGTTCCGGGAATCTTAGCATTTGACAAAATTTTCCTTGTTTCATTAGCCCACTTCAAAATCTCAAGGTTGAATGGTAAAGGAACTTTCATGCCATCACAAGAAATCTGCAAAATGAGCATATAGAGAAGGTAAATATTAAAGGAAATAAATTAAAAAAAAAATTATAAAAGCAAGTTGACATAAAATAATTAAACAATAAACAAACAAAGACAAAAGGGTGCACATGTGCAATCTGATTTAACGGTTAGAATAGCTGAAACTTCTAATCACTGGGGCACTCTCAAAGAACTTAAATAGCAAAAAAAAAATCAATTATTGAAAGTATATAAAAAATTAATGTTGTGTGCACCCTTAAACAACCAATCATTTAAAGGTTGTTCAACAGAAATGAAACAATATTCAATAACCGAGTTTTCATTCACATGTAATTGAAAATCTTAATATACACGAGTAGCTTTTATTTATTGGCTACATAAATTTAATATCTCAGAGCTAATTATTAATTGTTTACCTATATATCAAATTACGCGTGTAAATGAGCAAAATCAGCGACAAAAGCAACCCATGCGTTGATGGATGCGTCACTTGAAGGGTCAAATGATGTCCAATCATTGAACGGACTGTGTCGTTGTGACCAGAACGTTGAATTCCCCTAACTCGAGGCCCCTTGCAGGCGAGTCGGGCGCGACCGGTCAAAATCGGCGACCAACACCCGAAAATGACGCGCAATGTCAGCCAAACGACGTCTGATCTCAAAACAAACTTCGTTGTCCTGTTCGGATCGTCATCACCACTCAAAATTTGCTATCAATTTGTTCAATTGATGACGTGCGAGGAGAACAGCATGCGTCCCGAGGCAATGCACGTTCAAATCAAGGAAAACGCCGTGCAATGTCGCCCAAACGACGTTCAAATGCAAAATGGATTGCGCTATTACGTTCGGAATGTCCAAATCATCAAAAAGGAACTATACATTCGCTCAAGGAAAATTGAGCGCGCAAATCGACGCAAATCCCGCAAGAATTTTGAGGAATTGGCATGAAAAATCAAAACCAAGTTTTCAATCTTGAATTCTGTTAGCTTGGTTATAACAATTATTGTTATTTATAATAATTCTTACTATAAAAAAATAGAAATCAGAAATCAAAATAAACAAAAAAAAATCAAATCAATTTAATTCACCTCGCCATAGATGGACGTCCGGCGAAAAGCTTCGCACGATTACACCCACGACAACGACGAGCGCAGTTTGGCCTTTCTGCACGGCCTCTTATTTCGCTTTAATGGATATGGAGAGGGGTCTTCGGCATTAACCCACAGACGAGCAATTTCGCGAATTCACCATCACTCGAAAGTCTTTATCTTGTCTTATTGTTATTGACTTCGCAAATCAGCTCCTGTCTTCGAAATCCACTTCTTTCCACTCGATCCGACAACATACGCAACTCTTCCCGCCCCAAATCCTAATTCTCTAGCCGCTATTGTTTTGAACTCCTCCAAATGATCGAATTCCCGAACTCTCCAAAGTACCATATCCCATCAATCCGCCTCTTTAACCCCAATATTCAGCAACCTTCAAAAAAAGCCAAGCCTCAAGAAATCCACTCAATCGAGCTCCTCCTTCATGCCTCGACGCCAGTCCCCCACTCTTCCGCCTTCATCCACTTGCACAAGGCCATTCGATGCTTCTTTTGTATTTCCGGTCTCCCTCAATTGCACCGATTAAGCTTCCCAGTTCCCACCTTCTTGAATTTCCGATTTCCTTGCCGAACTACTGCATCCGTCCATCTCTTGCACAGAACAGCAGGTGAAATTGCTTTTCCTTTTTTTTCTGCCGCTAATTTTTAGTTAACTAATAGCATTCATTATTGTAATTAACTATTAGTGTTAGCTAAAAGTTAATAACTAATAGTATTAGATAATAAATCAATAATAGTACAGTAGTTAACTATTAGTATTAGATAAGTTCTATTAATATTAATTGTCGTTATAAGCAGTTAGCTTTTAGTATCAATTAATAGTTAATCACTAGTAGTATTAATTAACTATTAGTATTAATTACTATTAATACCTGTCAATTGTTGTTTTAAGTAATTTTTACTGCTATGATTATTATAATTTAATTTGTAAATTATAATTACATTTGATACGTCATCACAAAATTAGCTTGATGGGGCACGAATCTCGAAGCAAAAGCTAGTTGGAAACTTCAAAAATTAAATCCGGGAGCATATGAACTCCGATTCTAAGCAAAGTATAAAGTTCCAAATCCCGTCCTCGACGCGCGTGACGCACCGATGGACCCCCAATACGGGCTCTTATAGCACGGTAGGGAGAAATCTGATGCAACACATGCGATGAGGCAGGTAGGCTATATACACTCTTGTAACATGGTGGGGACAACTTTAAGTACCTGTACGCACCTCAGTGCCTGCGGGGAAAGAAAATTGTGCATTTTAAACAGGTACCTCAAAGACCCATACATGCTCTTATAGCGTGGTTGGATTGAAGATTAACACACGATGTCTACGGACCTACCATACACGCTCTTATAGCATGGTGGGAAGGCCCAGTTCCCCACATCTCCTCCAAACGAGGGATATGTCGGAATGCAGCCGAAATTCATAGCAAATAGAGGACATGTACGTGAACATAAATGTATAATTTGAATAAATACACATGATGATTTAAATAAAGCGCAGGGAACCAAAATTGAACGAACAGGTACCTTGAGACCCATACACGCTCTTATAGCGTGGTGGGATTGAAAACTACGGTCGCGGGTCGCGATGTCTACAAGCACCTACTTTACATGCTTTTCTAGCGTGGAGGGAAGGCCCAGTGCCCTAAATTTGCTCAAAACGAGGGATATGCCGGGATGTTGCCGAAACTCAGACTGAAACATACATAACTTGAACAACAAGAATATATAACCTAAGCAGCAATACAGAGGACCTGAATTTAAATAAAAGTGCAGAGAACTGGTATGAAATTTGAAAAAAAGAAGACCAAATTAGAATAATAAGGAACAAGACTTGAACTAAATTATAAGAAATCGAACCCTAAATCCTAAACTGCATAATTAATTTAAAAAAAAATGCAAATGCTAAATAACAGTTCAAATCATTCAAACAAACACAAGCAAACTAACAGGGGACTCGTCGTGAAGAACTTTCAGATGCAATTGACTTAGAAGTGACATCAGCCAACTACGAAATGTATAAGTGCTTCCTGCATGTACTTATGCAAGTAACAATCCTCCTATATATTGAAATGGATGCACCTAACATTAACAAAAAAAACCTAGCATGCATACAACAAATCACATCAGGACAACAGATACAGAATGTAATAATGTCTTGCAATCAACATCAATAACTTGTGTACAACCCGTCGTTGCGAACAAGTACACTAAGTCCACCTGTGAACGGTGAAGGTGGATATGATGCAAGTACATGTAGTATGCAACAAACACTATGGTGTCCATACAGCCGACAACAACAGTACCCTACAGGTATATTCAACCATGCAAACAATAATAATTGATGCTACTACCAACAAGTACACCAAGCCACATGTGAATGGCGAAGGTGGATATGATGCAAGTGCAACAGCTCTTCTACAAGCACATCCGGGAGAACATAGTGAACATGGACATTCCTTATAAACAAGTGCGGCTGATGTGATACTTACGGATAACAACAGTAGATATATCGTGAGTACAATGAATCTTCTATGGACACAAGTACATATGACACCTAAAAACAAGTGTAGGAGATATGTTGTATACAATAATCCTTCTATGGATGACAACGAACAACATGCAACAGTCGGTGTCAGCATGCAGATGAATATGCAAATCTGCCTACAACCAACAGCTAACAACTAATGAAGAATGTGTACAACAGTCGTCTCTACGGACGCCTGCAATAGCGATGATGGATATGCCATGAGTACGATGAATCCCATGTGGAAAAAAATACGTACAACACTTAGAAGCAGCAATGAGCGATCTGCTACGAGTATGATAAGTATAAAGACAACCTAATGTATGGAGGAAATCAATTGGTACGTCATCAAAGAAAGACCCGACTGTAGCGGGAAGCACGGAGAATTAAGTGATTCTGTATAGTCAAAGAATGATCAATTGAAGAGACTGCCTTAAGAAGCTCATTGATCTGCGATCAGCGGAAGGCCCCAATTACCATTAACCGAGTGAAGTCGAATGGTTCTATTAATGATTCTATAGAGTCAAAGACTGAGCACTTAAAGGAAAAAAAGATGAGAGAGAAAATATCTCTTTATATCATCTCTTCATAAGTACTAAGGCTCCCTGAAATTTTTCGCGCCATTCAAGTGAAAACCCGGAGAACAATCCCCTTAACTCAATGTCCTACTCTCGTGACGAGTCAGTGACAGAACAATATGACGATGTACTAACCAAGCCTTTGAGCTCATCAGCCTGTGATACGTCATCTATCACAAAATGCTCTCATGTCGTTTAGATGTGTTTATCCAATTCAAACAAGGGTTAGTTGTTTTGTAGATCCGACCTCCGGATAAATGAGAAATGAGAGTCTAGATCATAATAATAAAGAACCTTATGGTAGTCAGGTGACAACACTACGATTCACCAGTAGGAAAAAGCAAGGAATTAGTGATAAGAATCACGGGCCACTGAAGCGCGATATCATGCCTCCGGATCTGCAACGCTTGTACAAGCACATAGAAGGCGCCAACAAAGTCTGAAATAAGACCCCATGCATTTGGCAGTGATAGTCACCAATATAGTCAGACACCCCTTCACATTACATGCAAACATTTTAAAATTCCCCTCACATATACGTTACAACATGCACATAAATTCATCTAAATATATCATTTAGCATCGTGGAATACATTTAATTGTAATAAATGCATTGCATTTTACATGCTAATATATTACATATGCACCTGTCACAACTCATAGAATACGGGCATGTCATCTGACATTGTTGTTGTATGTTGAAAGAACCTCCTGCATAAACAGAGGGTTTCACTCCAATATGTCATTTGACACTGTAACTGCATTTCAAAAATCCTCCTCCTGCATAAGCAGAGGATT